CTTTCTAGATCAAAAGAGGTGGTAGATTTTTCCCTGTGGCTATGAAAAAACGCAACAGTGATCGGCATCAAAGCGAGCTCTGTCGATCGCAAAACGACATGGCGTGCGCCGGTGAATTCCTTAGTGTCACGCTGCGGGTCTTCAAAAAATGCTGCTGTCTCACCCATCAGGAGGTGCCGTTGGAGTTAGGCTAGCTCTTCTTCGATGAGAGGTATGCAAGAAATCTCACGGCACGCGCGGTGAGCTCGTCGTCACTCAATACGGTGAGGTTGGTAGTCCGTCGGAGAAAAAGTCATGAAGCGAGCGAGCCACTTGTTCGATGCGCAAAAGTCATCGTCATCTAGCTCAGCTCTAGCGAACTCGCGTGTAGATGCTTGAATCTAAGAGAGCGGGCCCATTTTTTCCTCCGATTTCAGGAAAACGATCTGATCAAACAGGACATCCTCTACCTCGACAAGCCGTAAGTATCTACCTCCACCTGTCACACGCAGCTGCAGCAGTCCCTAGTTCGTAATGGCTTTGCGGTTCTTCCACCAGTAGTGAATTTAGGCTGCTGACACCTTCCACCATCGTTCCGCTTGAAATTGCTACAATGCGCGCGTAGAGCCCCTACAACCAGGACTTTAGATCCACTCGATCACGTCCCGCTTCTCGAGGTTGGTCTTGAAAACGCGTCTGGGCGCCATGGTGTGCACTAGAGTATGAAGGCCTTTAATCTTAATTGAGCTTGAAATATATTGTGATACAAACAATAGAAGGTAAACAGGCTTTATCGAGTGACCGGTGCTAGCCATTGATCGAAGGCAATATTTGGTACAAACGTTTTTTGCCGATACATTTATGGTTACTAATGGGCACGGCATAATACTATTTGTGTACCTTAAAATTTAGTTTGGATATTACAATCGGACAGGGTATATTGTGCGGCAGAAGCCCGTTATAATTTTGTCAATTTAAACTCGTGTCAACTGCATGACTGTAACGGGCACACCTTATTCAGCTAACTGATAAAAGCTTGAACTGCTAACAGTGCAAGGGTGTGTGCGTCCGACTACCTCACGCACACGTATGTGCAGAGAAAGATTGCTAAACGGAGTAAAAGTGCTCAGTAAGGTAAAAAATAGAGCTGTGCATAGTATAGTTAGTCCTATAAATACATGCCAATTTGAATTTATTTAATTATATCCAAATATAAACCTGTATGGTAACTATCTGCCCACCACTCATTGCGTGCTTTTGTCATGTCTGGACTTCATTGTTTGATATTTTGGTCCTAAATCAACTCAGGAACAGTGTACTACATCGAGTAAAACATACTTTTTGCCCCCCCCCCGGGGAAAGTTTCTTTTTTGGCCTCCCCCCAAGCGCCCCACAATCATGTAGGGAACATCTTTCCATGAAATTTATTAACATTTTAAATACCCAGGGGGGGGTTTTTTTTTTGGGGGGGGGGGGTATTACATCTGTGAAGCAAATTATCGATTAGGATAAAATTGTAACAATATTGTGCTTGTCCTTTTACGATATTCATACTTGATTATTACCTTAAGTAAATCGTCATGCGGCGAAGACATTCCATTTTAAGTACGGGATATTAGGCTTTTGCATTATTGTGGTACCGGTAATGATATTTGCTACCTCTTTTCCTTTGATAACATTACATCTTTTATCAAACCTGTGTTCGAGGTGTGGCAGGAAAGGGGCTCGAGATGATAACTGATCCAAAAAACCCTACGAGAATCCATTCGAGCCCCAATTAAAGCTTACAAGCGACATGCTCAGCGCTTTTGCCACCACCATGCAAGGAACGTCAAATTATTACACCCGTAACTTAGTCAGTAAGGATGCATCGGATGCGGATCTGATAGCACTGACGATGACAATGGCTGAAAAAAAGCTGTTCGAGACCACCGCGAATATGCTACTTGGCATGACCCTACCATTGAGTCCTTCACTGCCACTGCAAGATGACGACTTGATGCCGCATTAGAATCATAAATAATTCGATCTCTTCTAGGAGATTATAGCCAGCAAGAAACAACAGGTACAAGCGGACCATTTAGGACTCCTAAACCACTGACAAACATATCGGTGCCGCGTAAACAGGATAGGCGGTTGTCGTATGTAACAACCACATCATGAGCTTCTCTTTTTGAAACTCACAGTGGTCTTACCATTGCGTTTATTTAGTTCCAGATGCATTCACCAGATATTGCGCGTCATCGAGTTGGGTAACTTGCTAGAGGTTGTAATCCCATTAGTCATTGCATTTTGCTTGATGACATGAAGGTCGAGAACGCGTAAGCTCAGAAGGTGCTTGCCGCTGTACTAGTACTAGCCACATCGGTGCTGCACGGTTAACACCTGCACATATCAATGACGTAGACGTTGGAGTTCTGAATGAGCGAGATAACGACATTAGAAAACTTGCATGGCTGCATCCTCCTTGGCAACTCCATATCGTCTGTGTGTGGATGTGCAACCCGTGCTCAACAAGAAGTAACTGGCGAGCCTGTGCTGCATAGCCACCAGCTTAATATCAGTGATTAGCCCACTTCTGAGTCTCAAAGTTGATGTAAAACCGATTGCAACACAGCGAGTGGTAGATAACGATATCTACTGCTACATATACTAATATTTCCGCTACAAACAAATGTGCAAGATACTCGCAAGAACTAGTGCCAGAGCGGCAAAAAACCGACACGTGAAGCACAACGTGAAACTGTCTGCTTCTTCGTCATGCCGTGATTATCCAACAACAAGTTATGAGTTTTCGTGAGTGAGCCAAACTAGGACGATTTGTTAAGTTCAATGCAACTTCGAAGCGCCAATCTGAACGGGTCGTATCGTAGGAGCATGCTGGCTACAAAACAGCGTTCCTGGAGAGGATAACAAACACGTAAATCGCAGTTCTCCATGGCAAAGCACGACAACCGCTTAGACCGATCCACGAGCATAGCATATGCGCATCTTTCTGAGCAACCGGTACATGTGATTGCTCCAGCAGTCACCGAATTCTGCTGACGTCGCCACTTCGCGTCGCCTGACATAAATAGACTAAACAGGATCGTTATCCGCAGCTCTCCACATATTTTTACCGTTGTACTTCTTGTTCTAAGGAAAAGAGAACACCATCAGACTCGTCCGTTGCGCTGAACAAGTTTTTTGGGCGTCCATACCATACCAATCGGAGAAGTTACGCCTGTCCACCACAAATATTGTCAACTCCCTTTTTGTAGCGTACCAATTAACTCCAAAGCATCGCCAGCTTCTGTGTTGCTTGATCAACAGCAGCTGCGAAGTGATAGCACACAGCTGTGGCATCCGGAGTGCCTTTCGAGAAATACATCGGCCACGAGACTGCAGCTGGTCTACTCACGCGCTATTGCCGTGATGGAACAGGAATATCTAAAGCTGGGCAAATAGCAATAAAATAGAAACCGAGAGCGGTAGCAGAACGATGTCCATCTTCATCACCAACTCAGCAATCCTTGTGCCAATTGTCCATGGCGTACACAATCCGGCACGAATTCAATGCATTCCATCTCGTTGTCATCGGTCGGAGCCCACTCCACACTAAATCTGGTCCAGCCCATGGTTGACTCTAGGTTGTACGTATCGGCTGTCTTGAGGTATACCAACAGGCTTTAAAGCTTTACCCTTGCCTTGCATAGCTCATCTGAATATCTGATGACCAGGGCTGCTCTACAGCAGCGGCCGGCTTTCATTCTACTTGGCAAACGGTGCAGCGTATGCGATATTGCCATCGATATTCCTCCGTAGTCATAGCGTGGGATAATTACAAAGCGGCGGTTTCGTCCAACTATGTCCTGTCGCGAGACGTGCTGTAACTTGTCATGGTGCTCAGCGAAACGTGTGCTATCTGCATCTGCACATGATCCAGTGACTTCGCTTAGTGCGTATTTGTCAAATTCGTAGACGGGTCTTCTTAGTTTCAGTGGCACAACAGCTAGTGTGTAAGAACGTATCGTGTTTGAATACCGATGTCTGGTGCCACGGGTACAGCGACATACCATGTTGCCACGGAAATTATTTCAAAGTCGTGCTCATTCATGAGTGCATCACTTATCTTCTGACACTCGCGACACTTTCAGCGTTGGCCAAGAGCTGCGTATCCAAGGGTGACGAGTCGTTCTTAATTCAAGCCATCTCACCACAATCACGTCCTTTCGGCTTGAGCGCACCCCACAAGAGCAGCTTGATCCTGCTAAGCCAACTACGCAATATCGTCAGCTACCCGCTCTATTTGCCCCCAGCACGACTGTAGCTGCACAATGCAATGTAAACCTGTAGCATTTCACATCTGGTTCTGCCTGGTGCCAGTGCCCTCGTGCGAACATGCCCGTGCTCGCCTGTAAATGGTACCAGCGAATACACGTGTTTACCACATGCTACGCTATATTAAGTGGCTGTCTGTGTCTCATCTAACCGTTCGTCAGCGCTCCAACAGCTCCTATCCGAAATCAATATAACCGTCTTTTGCTGCGCTATTCGGTCGTTCGTTCCGTACCAGTTGACTTTCCTTTGTACTACAAGACACCACGAGCGAATCCGACGCTGACGGACTGCATCACGATTGCCTGCATTTTACTGATCTTACACACAATAAAGTCTTGGATCGCGTGGCAATTCATAATTGTCTCGCACAAGTGCGCTCGACTAGCTCCATGGTCCTCAGTCGTGGGACTTGACACTGCAGCCCGAGTGTTGTGTTGTAGCTCGGGATGCGCACTAATCTTGACTTCGCTCGCGCAAGAGGTGCAAGTCAACCTGAGCATATCACCTTTACGTGCAAGCCCTAACGTCACAATTCGGAAGCGTGCCCGCTTTGCTTTACACGACAAGCGTGTCCCATCCATTCCATTGTAGCCCATAGGACGCTATTTCTTGGAACCTCATCACTGCATCCACTTCACTTGGCGCAGTTCTTTATTTACTACCTCTTCTCCGCAACTGCTGTCGGCAGCACTGAACATTTCTCAGCTAGAATATCCAGAATCGGAAGAACTAGATTCAGACGAAGCAGACGACTCAGCATCGTCATTCGTGCCGGCCTCCAAAACTCTATGTTCAAGCTCTTCCAACGCCCAACCAGTTTCGTTTTTACTAAACCCAGCAATACGGGCATCCAATTCCGAACTTATGCACTGAAGCCGCTCATCAGCAACGGATTGAATCCACACGCAGTAGTCTTGGATATAAAGCGAATTGAGCAGATACTGCGTCTCTGACTTTTCAACCACTCGGTAAAGCGTAAGCAACGCTCGTAGCACAACGCGCTTGCCACGTTTCAAAATTTCGTTAGCTTCGTGCACCGAGCGCATGGCCAACTCGTATTGCCGCAGGAACGGAAAAGCGATCATGCGACGTACGCTTGAGCGGACAACAGCGTATAAATCGGCAGATACATCTAGCCACGACAGAGTTGGACTCACGATACTCACCGTCCAGGTCGATTCCACACCACTGTCACCCTGAGTTGTGAGCTGTTCGTATGCAAAGCCGATGAGAATGTCAACTAAACCACCAAGCACGACTTTTTCTTCCAAACTGCCTTCCAAAATCAGGAACTCTTTTCGAGGAAGCCGACGCAACAGTTCTTGCTCTGCGTCATCGAATACAACCGATGTTGTCGAATGCGCTGAAGGCGTGGATGCATCTAGCGACAAACTGCAAATACTATCCTCAATGCAACCGACGTCTGACTTCACCTCAGCAATCAAAGGCTTCACCGTGTCGGCTACTGCGATACTCTTTGATGGCCCAATAGTTGGAAGAACAGGGTACTTCCTCCAGAATGGCACGTAAGTCATGGCGAGATTAAAGTACATGTCCTCGCCCTGATTAGCGAAGTCCATAAGGTAGCGCTCAATATCAAAGTGTTGGTCCTCCGCAGCTTCACGAAGAATACGTCGCTGTTCCGGCCGAGTGTGCTCTGGGTCAGGAAGTGACAAAATCTCGCTCACTTCACCGTGCCATACACGAAAAAAATCGCTGTATGCATTGTTGAACCCGTACGAAGGCGCGAGGTCAGTGACATGGACGCCAAGCAATTCGACACTGTCTTCCGCACCATCACCGGGAAGGCTGACGCGATGCGTAGATACAGAAGCTTCAAGACCGAGAAGCGACGAATCAGTGTGGACTTGCTCGGTAGAAGATGGTGCAATATTCTCGTCGTTGCGACTTGGCTTGCCATCAATCAACGCGTTTAGTCTATCCGTCTCTTCTTGATGTGTTCCAACTAAAAGACTTTCGGTCGACTCCAACACTTCAATCAGCGAGGTTTTCCTGGCCATTGAGCCAAATATCAAACAAGACGTAAGTCTCTTTCTGTACCATAACAAGCTTGCGGTTCAAAGCATAAAGAGAGTTGGCTACCCTTGTTGCGTGCGAGTCCTGCTACTAGAGACTGATGCCAGAGGTCGTTGCGGCTGCAGCAGCTTCGTGAGCATATCAAGGTCCGGAAAGTTCTGGCCTGACTCTTTCTTGGCCAAATGCACCACAATAGTGCCATTGTCCTGTACAGAATGTCCATGTACACACACACATCCACATATACTCAACCACTCGGTCAGTACTTCTGAACTTCCTATTGCAGCAACACACTTCCACTACACCAGAACATCATTTCCACACCTTGTTCGGGTCGTACACCGCTTTTGTCAATTCGTTGTCCACCACTTCGTGTGGAAACTGCAGCTTGAGTCCGTATGGTTTGCAATAGAAGGTAAAGTCCACGCCATCGACGTAGAACTCCATCTCCGACACGCGCACGTAGGGCACGCGCACGTGCACGAACACCCACGTGGCGTCCTGCGACACGTGAAACGTCGGTGTCGTCACCATTGAAATGCGCTGTCGAAGATAACGTATAAGCCAATCACTGGCGCCGTGTGAGCCCGTCGAACGTGATCATGTGTATCCATCGGTTTCGACAGGAGATACATGACGCTGTTTCTTAAGTGCGAGTGTTCAGTCAGCCTGTTGTTCGCTTAGGTACGGCATAAGTTGGATCTTCAGGGAGGAGACCAACAGCAGCTAATCGGACGTCTTCAGTCTTGCAAGATGACGGCAGACGTGGCGATGGTGGCAATGAACGACAGTGCGGGGCTCACCAGCTATTACGAGCAGAAAATCGAGCATCTTGAGCTCACCGTGCGTGACGAGACGCAAAACTTGCGGCGTCTCCAGGCACAACGCAACGAACTTAACTCGAAAGGTACGTTTTTGAAAAAGTATTAAATCTCAGAGTTGTACTAAGGTTCGCGTTTTTGTGACTGTGCCCAAATGATAAAAAGTCCGCTTGCTGCGCGAGGAGCTGCAGCTGCTGCAGGAGCCTGGATCGTATGTCGGCGAAGTCGTAAAGCAGATGGGCAAGTCCAAAGTGCTGGTCAAGGTGAACCCCGAGGGCAAGTACGTTGTCGATGTCGACAAGTCGATTGACATCACCAAGTGCACGCCCAACACGCGAGTGGCGCTCAGGAACGACAGCTACGTGCTGCACAAGATTTTGCCTACCAAGGTACTTGTGAAGGCGTTGTGGGTTGTGTTAAGTATGGGAGTACTCAGGTGGATGTCTAATCTGATTGATGTTACACGTGCAGGTGGATCCACTGGTGAGTCTGATGAAAGTGGAAAAGGTTCCGGATTCGACCTACGACATGATAGGCGGTCTCGATAAGCAGATTCGAGAGATCAAGGAGGTGATTGAGCTGCCTATTAAACACCCGGAACTCTTTGACGCCCTGGGTGTGGCTCAGCCAAAAGGTGTGCTACTTTACGGTCCTCCTGGTACGGGCAAGACGCTGCTTGCACGTGCAGTAGCTCACCATACAGACTGCACCTTTATCCGTGTGTCGGGTGCTGAGCTGGTGCAGAAGTACATTGGTGAAGGGTCGCGAATGGTTCGTGAGCTTTTCGTTATGGCTCGTGAAGCGTCACCGTCCATCATCTTTATGGACGAAATTGACTCCATTGGTAGTTCTCGGATGGAAGGTGGAGGTGGTGGTGATTCCGAGGTGCAGCGTACGATGCTGGAGCTGCTCAACCAGCTCGATGGGTTTGAACCGGCACAAAACATCAAGGTCATCATGGCTACGAATCGTATCGACATTCTTGATGCGGCACTGCTGCGTCCTGGTCGTATCGACCGAAAGATTGAGTTCCCCAACCCAACGGAAGGGGTGCGTGCAGCATATTTGTGCAGCTCGGTGTGCTAATTTATACTCACTTTTCGTATGATTGTGTACAGTCGCGCATCGATATCATGCGCATCCATTCGAGAAAGATGAACTTGCTGCGTGGTATCAATCTGAAGGTCATCGCAGAGAAGATGCCGACATCTTCGGGGGCCGAGTGCAAAGCTGTTTGCACGGAAGCCGGTATGTTCGCGTTACGTGAACGGCGAATTCACGTGACTCAGGAAGACTTTGAGATGGCTGTCTCCAAGGTCATGAAGAAGGACTCGGAGCAGAACATGTCGATCAACAAGCTCTGGAAGTAAGTTGTGCGTTGGCGCTATGCTAGGCTGTTAGTTCAGTATCGGCATGGACCCGCACGATAATCGAAAGTGCGAGCATACATGGTAGGCTTTCCATTGGCAGTCTGGCCGATTCAATGACCGTCGGTGAAACAATAAAGACGTGGCTATGCTACAGCTGTCTTCAGCTACGAACTCATGCGCACGCACATTGTCATGCTTCACAGTTGCAAGTAGAAAACCTGCACTATAGCTCTCTGTCGACCGAAGAGCGTCGATTTAGCAAGGCAACATCGAAGGACGACGACGCCGTTATCAGGTGCTGGTATACGTGACACACATTGGCTGCGTTATCATATTGCGCGATAGATATTTCGGCAACGCACGTCGTACAGCACATGGGCAACGGAACTGCACGAATGCAGCCATCGTGGCGGTTCGGTCGAACTAATTCGAGCGTATTCGTAGCCCGTCACAGCACCTCTCATCACAGCGTCTCTGAATCTAGTGCAATCAAAATCAACGGTATCCATCCCAACAACCATCGGAAGTGCAGTGCCATCCATTCCCCCACTCCACAAGATGCGACATCTGACGTCAAGTCCACTCGCACATTCGGTCGGTCGGTCGGTTCCCTCTACTCGGTCGGCAGCAGATGGGAGATTATCTCATTGAAGGATGCAGTGCCACCACATGTTTTTACGCCGTACGCTCGCACACGTATCAGCGATACGATTGGCTGCTACGGTCTCGAGCAATCGAGTAACGCCGCGGCAGATATGAGACACTACGAATCGATCGATTTCTTTTCCGGTGCTCGAAGCCGTTGACGCCTGTTTGTGGCTTACCTCAGAAGCTCCGTCGAAAGAGAGCGAGAGAGAAAGGGCGACCTTTGAACCCACGTCTCGTCTGACCGACCGTCCTGAGCTCACTCCCGGATGACGCGCCGAACGACCTTCACTTGTCGAAAGCTCAACAGTCCACCGCAACATCAACCGGTTGACTCACTTATCAATTGACTTACTTATCAATTGACTGACTGACTGATCAATTGACTCACTGACCGATCAATTGACCATTTGACCGCCCTCCTGACCGACCCATCGATCTTTGCTTGTTCGACGACTCCAAATTATGGGCAAGCAGCACCTCGCCAAGGGCATTGGCCGCCTGTCCGATTTGGTCATGACCAAGGCCAAAGGCTCGTGGGTCTGGACGTCTGACGAGCGCAAGCTGCTGGACTTTACGAGCGGCATCGCCGTGACGAGCGTGGGGCACTCGCACCCCAAGGTCGTGGCCGCTGTGCAGAAACAAGCCGCCACCCTCGTGCACGCGCAGGTGAACATTGGGTACCACCAGCCCATGCTGGACTTGACGGACAAGCTGCTGCCGGTTCTGCCCACGAGTCTCGACTCGCTCTTCTTTGCCTGCAGTGGCTCGGAGGCTGTTGAGAACGCGGTCAAGCTCGCGCGCCATGCGACAGGCAAGAGCCGCGTCATTGCCTTCCAGGGTGGTTACCACGGCCGCACGATCGGAACCATGAGCCTCACGTCGAGCAAGACCGTGTACAGTGCCGGCTTTGGTCCGCTCATGCCGGGCGTCACCTTTGTGCCGTATCCGTACGCGGTCCAAGGCCCCGTTCCTGAGGACGAGGAGAAGAACGCCGAGTGGTGTCTAGAGCAACTGCGCGTTGCACTGAAGCAACAGTCGGCACCGCGGGACACAGCAGCAATTATCATTGAATCCGTCTTGGGCGAAGGTGGCTACGTTGTACCGCCCAAGAGTTTCATGACGAATCTGCGCGATCTTGCCTCGGAGAACGACATTTTGCTCATTGCGGATGAGGTTCAGTCCGGGTTCGGCCGCACCGGCAGCTACTTTGCAGTGGACGGCCATTTCGATGTGCAGCCCGATATTCTGGTGTTTGCCAAGGGCGTTGCAGACGGCTACCCTATCAGCGGCATTGCCAGTCGGAAGGAGTTGACCGACATGCAGCCTGCTGGGTCGATGGGTGGCACTTATGCAGGCAATGCTGTTGCTTGCGCTGCGGCTATTGCGACGCAGGAAGTCATTGCCGAGGAGAACGTGCTCGAGAATACCTGCGCTCGTGGTGCGCAGCTGCGTGCCGGCCTTGACAAGCTCAAGGCATCGGGCAAGTACCCGATTTCGGACGTGCGTGGTTTGGGTTTGATGATTGGCGTTGAGTTTGATTCTGTCGCGACGCCGAAGGGTACGGCGACCAAGATCTCGCTGGCGTGTCTGGACCATGGCATGATGCTGCTGACGGCGAGCATATACGAGACCTTGCGCTTCATGCCTGCTCTAACAGTGACAGAGGCGGAGTGCGAGCTTGCGTTGGAAATCTTTCGGAAGGCCCTGGACGATGTTTTTGAGAAGTAGCGTCACCGGTTGCTAGCTAACCTGGTTGGCTTGTGCGTTAACACAGTGATCGAGGTCGTGATGCGGCGTTCGGTAGCAACAGCGTCTTTGCTGGCGTCCAGTTAGTACAACATCGTGTTGAGTATCTTGTGATACCTTCACATTCAGACTGATAAGTGCGATTTAAAAAGTTTGGCATTCACAATCATTATCAGGTCTTCCCTTTGGCCTCGCAGCACTACGATTGACACCTCTTACATTTATCAAGAAGGGGGAACTTTCACATTTATGAGGTAAAACCTGTGTAGTAAAACCACACGAGTTTTTCCCAGAACCAGTACCTCCAGCTTGCCAATTTCCCGGATCGAGTACCTTCCTTAATTGTAGTACTAGTACCTCTCAATTTCGTGATTGGTTATGCTAAATGACACCAAACAGTAAATTGGCTGACAACTCATTGAAATCAAAATTGTCTTCGACAGTCCGATGGCATTCGCATCTCATGCGCACACACATTGGTCTACGAAGTGCTGACATTCGCAAGGATACGCTCAAATTAATGAACCTATACAGGTCAACTTTACTGTAATGAATTGAATGGTGAACTACCACGAGCTCATCGATGAGGACGACAACCAACCACAATGGAATTAAAAAAGGTTTGAACTAAGTCCGCATATTCAGATGCGCTCTTTGGCTTTGATTGAGAAGTTGCCGATAGTTGACTAATTGGCTGTAGTATGCTTAGGGTTGCACGCATCACACATGGTATAAAAGGCAAGAAAACAACAAGTCGTGAGTAGATTGCGGGTAACGGACAGTTCGAACGCACGTAAGGTGTGTTCTGGAATAGAAAGTTTACATCATGCATATGTACTAATACTAACGAGCGGAAGGTGTTGTGTCTTACAATTTTGCAGGTCTCTTGTGTTCATATCATGAATGCTATGGCTGTGTTCTGATCTCACAGTCTCGATCAGCCGACCCGCTGGGATCATCCGCGACTCAAACCGTTATCCAAAGTGTTACCTCAAACACGCACTGCATTAATACACAAAGTCGGTCCTCTAGTCATGTCCAATATCTTGATCGCATTAACTAACTACCAAAAAAGTACACGAAGACACTACATAGCTGACCGCCGCACGTGGAAGTAAACAATGCATTTTAACCTTCATCATGTCCAGCGACAGGCTAGTCAGTACAAAGTCCCCACTGCGACATGTCGACCATAACTATCGAGTCTGCGGTTACCTCAACTAGCAGAAAAACACGAAGTGCTGCATATTATGTGTCCTGGGGCGCCCTGTAACGGGGTGAAACGTTACATAACAATTTTTAAGAAATTGTTAATAGAATATAACTATAAGAGTTATATTCTCAGAATATTGTCATAAGGACAAATATTCTGTAGCACTTACGAATAGTTCCTAATTGGTTGATATAGGCCATTTTATCAACCAACGAAGACGCGCCACGACAGACGCACGCAATGAGTGGTGAGCAGATGGTTGATATGCACATTTGTATTTAGACATAGTTAGATGAGGATAAACAGTGGTTTATTGCAGACATTAACTATTATAAATACAGTTCTACTTTTTACTTTAACCAAGTACTCGCTTCTTCTTACCGTCTTCCTCTGCACGTACGAGTGTACGTGAAGTTACGAGGCACCGCCTTATTCTGTCATCAGAATAAGTAGCTTGTACTGTCACTAGTACAAGCTTCAGGGTGCCCCGCTACACCTGGTAGCACTTCGTAGTCCGTCCAAGGACCACGTTCACATCCAACATGAATATGTTGGATGATGAAGATGACCAAAGCTTTCACGCTACGCGTGCCTGCTACTTTCATTTGAGCGATGTCGAATGGGATGCGGTTGAACGGATGGGTTCAACCATGGGCATCCATGCTGTTAGCGTCATGCTAGAGGCTCTCAATAGAGATGCCTAACATGCTACTATCGCCAAGTTCATTCAAAATGAACTTGACGCCGAACGTGAGAAAGTAGCCTTGCTTCACCAACAAGGCTCTCAACAATCAGAGTTGTTGAGAGAACAGGGTGCTCAACAGTTTGAGCTGCTGAGACAGCAGCAGGCTGCTGCTGGTGGGTTAATGCACTCGCGTCGACCCGAAACCTTGAAGATTGACATCTCCAAGTACAGGGGAGTCGAAGAGGACTCCCTCTTGAGATGGTTCGTCGAATTGGATGACGCCATAAGGGCGCGTCGCATCGACGACGGGGGTATGCAAGTTGCATTTGCCCAGTCATATCTGGCAGGACGTGCCAAGACTTGGCACTGGGGCTCAAGTTGCACGACCCATATGCGTTTGGGTCGTTAGAAGTCTTCAAGTCGCGGCTCAGACAAACATTTAAACCGCCTAGAGCTGAGTTCAGAGCTCGAACCGAACTCGTTAAGCTCAAACAAGGTAAGCGCGATGTGCACGCTTACGCGCAACATATACGACATCTCACGAGTTTTATAAGTTCCAATCCGGTGGATGAACACACCTTGGTTTCGGTGTTCATGCAGGGTCTTGCGGATGGTCCCGTCAAGACTCACCTGTTCCGACTTGAACTAGATTCACTAGAGCAGTCCATTTCCATTGCGGAACAGGAAGACTTCAGTCTGAGACAAGCTCGCACCAGCTCGACATCATATCGTAACCGAGACGATATGACAGTGGAGGTCCAGAGCCGATGGAACTATGTTATGTAGAGAGCGAGAAGGCTCGCTCTACAGACTACAAGAAGTTGCAGAGATGCAGCAGATGTCAAAAGACAGGACACTACGCTTACGAGTGTAGTGCCTCTCGTCCAGTGTCTCGCGACACTGAGCGTAGTGACCGTCCACCCATGAGAAAGGGGCAGGGACGCGGGTCCGCTGTTGGTGCAAAGACGCAACAACGGGATGGACCGTCAAAAAACGGTCAGGATCAGTAGGTGCGGAGCACCCTACTGGTCCAGCAACGTCAAGTGAATTTGTTGGCCTCTTGATGAAGGTTGCTCCCAACACACAAACGTTGTGCGTTGCTGCTCCAGGTAATGAGATCTCACTCATTACCTTGAAACTCGAAGTGACAAATAAGTTGTCCCTTCGAGCTCTAGTCGATTGTGGGGCGTCCAACAATTTTGTGCGACGCCAATCGCTAGAAGATGGTCACTTTAAGTTCAGTGAATGTGACACACCTCCTACGAGGATGACGGTACGTCTTGCGACAGGCGCATCCGTAACCGTCATGAAGCGTATAGTGAAGATCCACTATACGCTAGAAGATACCCAATATGACGATGACTTTATCGTATTGGATTTGGATGACAAATTTGATGTCATCCTTGGAATACCGTGGCTCAGAAGGTACGAACCACGGGTAAACTGGCAACATCGAACAGTAACGATGCCTGCCGCTTGTTCATCAGATGGCCATCTGATGAACGTTTTGGAGCGCCCACAAGCGTGTGGATGTACTACGAGTGAGTGCGATGGCCTCACTTGTGGTACGGTCGTTAGTATGACTGCAAAAAACCTTAGTGTAACAAACGGTTACACTTCGGAGCAAAGTTCCGGCGGCTGTGAGGAAACACAGGCTGCGCCGAAGGTCCACCACATGAATAAGTCGAGTGGACCGGGACAAAGATGTATCCCTAGCGGGGAACATCTAGAAGAGACCATCGATCGCTCAGGGTAAGCGAAACGATAATCCTAGATCGACTGGACAGTCTTTCGTAGAGGATCTCGCTGTGGTTGCGCAACCCCAGCTAGAGGAAATTAAGGGAATAAGTCCCAAGATTACAAATACGGCGGAAATAAGTTTTCCGAAACCCGAGGGAGTAAGTCCCCGGGAAGCCGAAGGGATAAGTCCTTCGAGGCCTGAGGGAAAAGTCCCCAGGAAATGACAGAGACATTGAATGTCATAGTCAATAAAGGATCAAGTGTAGGCACTTACACACTTGATCTGATTGCGCCTCCGAAGTTGACTTCGGAGATCACTCAGTTGCCAACGCTCGAACATAAAAGGTTCTTGCGTGATCTGCGTAGTGGCAAAGTCAAGCAGATCTGCGTACTCGTCGCTGACGACGAGTGTGTAACCGACATAAGGTCAGCAACAGTGTTTACTGAGAACGAGAGAGTTCTCAGTAGTTCATCTATGGACGAGAGTGTCCTAGATGAAAAGACACGAATTGAGCGATATGACTCCCAATCGTGGGAATCGCTCAAGACAAATCCTCTCTATGAAGATTTGGTTGAATTCAAGGGTGTATTCCCTGAAACTGTTCCGTGCGAATTACCGAAGGATAAAGGTACTTGAAACGAGGTCGAGCTTAAACCAGGCTCGAAGTACTGTGTCATGAAGCAGTGGCCACTGCCTCGTGAACAAGTACTTGCGATCGACAAGTTCTTTGCCGATCGTTTAGCTGCGGGCCATGTGAGGGAACCAACTTTCCCACATAGCTCTCCGACCTTCTGTGTGCGAAAAGCAACAGGAGGGTGGCGGATAGTGCATGCATCTAACAAGTTGAATGCTGCAACGGTACCGGCTCAGACGCCGATACCGAGGAAGGACGTAATCATTGATGGTATGTCAAAGAGTACCATCTTTTCGTCCATGGATTTGATGGATGGCTTCCATCAAATCCTTATGCGAGAACGGGATATACCCTATACCGCAGTTAGCACGCCTAGCGGCATGCTCTGGGAATGGCTATTAATGCCACAAGGGCTTAGTAATGCCCCTGCCACGTTCAACAGATGTGTATCACATCTGTTGAGACCAGTACGAGAATTCGCGCCGAGTTATTTCGATGACGTATTCATCCATAGCCGAGCTATGGATGGAAAGTCGGACGTTGAGGTCCACAGGTACCACGTCCGACAGGTTCTTACAATCATGCGAAAGCATCAATTGTATGCAAACCTCAAGAAGTGTATATTTGCAGCAAGCGAAATACCACTTCTTGGGTGCATCGTTGGTAAGAATGGTGTACGTCCTGATCCCGAAAAGATCAAGGCGATCAC